ACACACACACACACACACACACCCACACCAGCGTGCCTGAGAAGTACTTGGATCCCTCAAGTACTTCCATTGATTTGACGCCGATCTCTCGATTACCAAGGAATGCAGGTGCCCCTCACACTGTGCAAGATTCCCTTGGGAAATCAGAACCCAGAGACTGCTCATCTATGATAACCCCCCCCACCGTCAGTGCTAGAATTGACACCTCCCTTGGGAAGAGTTTCCATTTCTTCACGCGCCTTCTGTGTGCCATATTGGGCCCCTCTAACCATCCAGCCCACAATCCTTTCCAGCGCCCACAGTCAGTGCAAAAAAAAATGGACACCAATTTCCAGTCCGCTCGCGTACAGATGATTGACAAAGAAGAGTCCTCAACGCCGTTCGTTTCGAAGATGCTCATAACTTGTGCTAAATGCTCCCACAGGCCAGCTTTCCTCCACTTTCTTATGAGCGGCCCATCATGCTAGTGATGGCCCATGCACACTCGTTGAGTGAAACCGGCATATGGACTTGTTCGCTCAACGAGTGTGCATGGGCCACTGGCATGGGCCACTAGCATGTGATTCTTACGAATAACAGTGTCCCATAACTTGTGTGCGGAAGGCTCCCACAGGAGAGAAGGTTAACAACAACTATATTTTTCATCAGACATAATTTGTGTGTGTGTCCCACAGGCCAGCTTTCCTCCGCTTTCTTAGGAGCTCTCTCCCCGCCTCCTTTCTCTCGCATTCCAGGCTTTGGGCTCCAGTCACCAGTGTGCACCTCAGTTCAAAATTGGACGCCTCCCAACTTTCCAAGCCGTTGGCCTCTCGTACAGTATGTCTTCATCTCCATCTTTCCTCTTCTGAGCTGCCAAAATGTGATGTATCGCTTCACCTCGATGCTAGCTGAATACTACCATCCCCTCCCCCAAACACAACGCACCGTCGTTATTACTATACCGAGACAGAACAAATAGCTTGTAGCCTTGTATGCATACATGAGGGGGGATGTTGTGTTCGACCTAAGACTGTAGTACACAAACCAATGTGTTATCAATGAGTTGGGGTCCCTAATCTGTTGATTACCACAAGTTCACCCGCCTTTTCCTTCAACCTATAGTCGTCTTCCCGTCTTCATCTTCCACACCATTGAAACTTTCATCCCCCTAACTCTTTGTGTGCTTATAACTTCCTCAACCTCTATAGAATTGGAATGATGCAGTATGCTCTCTCTTCCCCCACATGATCAAAAGCAGTTAAAGCACTGCCCCAACAGGCTCCACAGTTTTGTGTCATAGCAGAGGAGTCACCTTACTCCAAACCACAGAATGCTCATGCCTCGATGACTATCATTGCCCTCCCTGGCATCTGGCTGAAAGTGTCTTTGAATGCAAAACGACTCCGATGCACATTCCCTCCCTCCCTCCCTCTCTCTCTCTCTCTCTCTCTCTCTCTCTCTCTCTCTCTCTCTCTCTCTCTCTCTCTCTCTCTCTCTCTAGCGGTATCTTCAGCGCAGCAGGTAAGTAACCAATCTTGTATCACTGTGTGTGTGTGTGTGTGTGTGTGTGTGTGTGTGTGTGTGTATGTGTGAACAGCAGAAAGAAAACCTCCCCTCCATACCAGCCTGTGTTTTGTTGTGTCGTGTAAAAGTCCCATCCCATTACTCAAGAGTGGTAGATTGCTCATTCCTGGCAGATCTCGCCTCAAGTACAAGGCTGCTGTAGGGGTCCATCCTGATTGTGTTTGCCGTAAATTGCCTGCGCATCACATCCACCCATAACGATGGAACAAATACGCACGTGCCCATGGGCACAATGGCCAGTATCATCATCAACACAGATTAGCTTTCTTCTGCCCTCCCTCTGCAACGCACATCCATGCACAATCACGTCATGGCAGAAGCACAAGCGGACAAAGAAAAACAAACCACAGGTGCAAGTGCAAACAAACACTCCCCGAAGCTCCTTTTCTGCACATTCAAGTCCCATTGAATCAACTTGAATGTGGTCATCATTATGAAAATTGCACAGGATAACAGTTACTCAAGCAGAACAACATCTACATAATTACAAATCGGACAAAAAAAAAATAAAAATAAAAAAATCGGACAAACACTGCCTTGGCTCCATCTTCAATGGAACGAAAGCATGAACAATCAGAGAAGCTCACACAAACAAAAACCACAACGTGCGTGTGCACACACGCATGGCTGTGCACGCACGCACACACACACACACACACACACACACACACACACAC